CCAGCCCCCGGTGCAGATGCCCGGTCCCTGTGGTTGCCCCCGGTGCCCGGTGCCAGCCCCCGGTGCAGATTCCCGGTGCCCGGTGCCAGCTCCCGGGTGCAGATTCCCGGTGCCAGCCCCCGGTGCAGATTCCCGGTGCCAGCCCCCGGTGCAAATGCCCGGTCCCTGTGCCTGCCCCCGGTGCAGATGCCCGGTCCCTGTGCCTGCCCCCGGTGCCAGCCCCCAGTGCGTGTGCCCAGTCCCCGATGCCAGCCCCTGGTGCTGATTCCCGGTCCGGATTCCCGGTCCCTGTGCCCGTCCCCGGTGCCTGCCCCCGGTGCAAATGCCCGGTCCCTGTGGTTGCCCCCGGTGCAGATGCCCGATCCCTGTGCCCGCCTCCGGTGCGTGTGCCCAGTCCCCGGTGCCAGCTCCCGGGTGCAAATGCCCGGTGCCCGGTGCCAGCCCCTAGTGCAGACGCCCGGTCCAGATTCCCGGTGCCCGGTGCCAGCTCCCGGGTGCAGATTCCCGGTGCCAGCCCCCGGTGCAGATTCCCCGTGCCCGGTGCCAGCTCCCGGATGCAGATTCCCAGTGCCCGGTGCCAGCCCCCGGTGCAGATGCCCGGTCCCTGTGCCTGCCCCCGGTGCCAGCCCCCAGTGCGTGTGCCCAGTCTCCGATGCCAGCCCCTGGTGCTGATTCCCGGTCCGGATTCCCGGTCCCTGTGCCTGCCCCCGGTGCCAGCCCCCAGTGCGTGTGCCCAGTCTCCGATGCCAGCCCCTGGTGCTGATTCCCGGTCCGGATTCCCGGTCCCTGTGCCTGCCCCCGGTGCCAGCCCCCAGTGCGTGTGCCCAGTCTCCGATGCCAGCCCCTGGTGCTGATTCCCGGTCCGGATTCCCGGTCCCTGTGCCTGCCCCCGGTGCCAGCCCCCAGTGCGTGTGCCCAGTCTCCGATGCCAGCCCCTGGTGCTGATTCCCGGTCCGGATTCCCGGTCCCTGTGCCCGTCCCCGGTGCCTGCCCCCGGTGCAAATGCCCGGTCCCTGTGGTTGCCCCCGGTGCAGATGCCCGATCCCTGTGCCCGCCTCCGGTGCGTGTGCCCAGTCCCCGGTGCCAGCTCCCGGGTGCAAATGCCCGGTGCCCGGTGCCAGCCCCTAGTGCAGACGCCCGGTCCAGATTCCCGGTGCCCGGTGCCAGCTCCCGGGTGCAGATTCCCGGTGCCAGCCCCCGGTGCAGATTCCCGGTCCCTGTGGTTGCCCCCGGTGCA